ATGTTTGCAAACATCCTCTCGTGGAATCTAGGTTTTATTTCTTTATTACGAGCATACATGTTACCAATAAACCGTTCGAGAGTTTACGGCAGCAATTCTAACTGCATTTGATAACGAACGGAATATTATTCCTGGAATTTAGCGTATCAATTGAAACTATCATTAGAAGGATTCTATAAAATTCCCGAAGTATCTTAATTGTGTTTATCGGGAGCGCCATGAAGCGATTTACGCCTCGCTGCTCGCATATTCGTATAAAGTGAATTATATTCTTCTATTGTATCAATTGATACGTATCGTTATAATATTCCATTACCGTTATATTTACGTTAAAAGTGTATAGTACTCCCCTACTCCGTGAAAGCTATGCTGTCGATGTTAATTACATCGATCTATTAAAACAAATACTTACTTTTTACACATACCTGTATGTAATCCGAACATGTAATATATATGTATACATTGTTAGATATTATATTATAAAACCAACAATGACAACTCAATCCTTTGAGTTATATAACATCTTGTTATTTTTAACTTTCATATATGTGTCAAAATTAATTCATTTTTGCGGTTAATTTTGAAGTAAATAACGCCCATATTAATGTAGGCACTCAGTAAATAATAAACTAAGTTTCAGTCGAATTTTCTTGAGTTTAATTATTTAATTCCATTGTTTTGGTTAAATTAACGACATATTGAGTAAGAGCAGTGGCGATCTATTACAGATATGATTAAAGATAACTCAAACTGGATATAATTTGACAATATTTAACAGGGTGAATTTAACAGCGTGTATATCACAGCACACAGAACATGTATCGCTTTCAACATTACATTCAAGAACGACTTTGAGTTTCCAGGTACCGGTTAACTGTTTAAAAAAAGATAGCTCCGAAAGTGGAAGCGAAACATGTCACTCACGGTCAGGCTAAGTGACTTGCGGTCGGCACTCCGCGCGTTCTGAAAATAAAAAAAAACTGTACGGGGCAGCTTAATTGCGCGCATATGCGGCGTGTCGTTCGAGGCGATCACGTCCACCGGTATCTAGCGGTGCGTGTAACGCGCGTAACGCATACGGTAATCTGCGGCGAACGCGGCCGGCGACCTGCGCCGCCCACACGTCGCGAACGCGGTGCGTATATTGCCTATCGTTGCACTCCGTGTCTTCGGATCCCGCTTCACGGCGCCAC